TTTGTAAAGATTGTGGGGATTATGTCCTTCTCCCATTGGAAAATAAATCCACTAAAGTTCGTGATACTGTTTCCCGTGAGACTGTTTGCAAATCAATACAGTTTTATCTCTGAAGATTTAAAATTAATTAAAATAAAGCAATAAAGAGTTATTAGAACTTGTAAATTAAAAATCCATTCTGAAGTCTGTCATTGGAAGGTCATGTATGAATGTAATATTCAAATAAAAATATTAATTGCAGACTGAGTTAAGAAACCCAAGTCAAAGAAAGAATGGCAACAGAAACAAAAGTGTCAGACATCTTGTTTATGGATTTCTTTGTCATAATAATATATCTTAAAGGAATACAAGTTACTTTAACTTTTTTATTTTATTCTTAGATATATTAAAAATATGGCAAAAAGGTATATCTTGAACATAGCAACGGTTATCCACTGAATGACCAGACACTGGGTTGCTTCTCAGTTTCATGTTCACAAACAGTCAGCTTCCTCCTTTTTGATATAATTCCATTACCTAGTCCGTCAGAAGGTACTCAGCTATGTACTTGCATTCAACTAAGTATGAAGCAAACAGCAAGGAAAAAAAATAGGAACATTTTACTTATCAGTTTAATAATCCTAAAGTCCCTAATTGGCATTCTATAGAGTAGTACATCCTGCATTCAACTTGAGAAGACTTTTCTGGAATCACCCCTCTTTATATATTGGTCCTGCTCCAAGGTACCAGGAATTTTTGATATTACATCAATATTATGTGTTGATTATATTGTTCTTAAACCATCAAGTGAAAAGCCGTGATTGCAGGAATTAAGATTGCCATTTTCCCTGACTGATTTTACGCTGTTTCCCATCTATGTGGTGGAAAACATAGGCGTGGTTCGAAATCAGTGTTCAAACTATGTGTCAACAGCTTTTGATTTTTGGGCACAGCTGAAATTTTGCGCTCTTTCAGCAGTGTTTATGGTATTGTATTTAATGTACTATCTGTAATGCTTGGTCACTGACTTTATCTCCAAATATTTGCTGCCTGTGGTGCATGGGTGGGCATTTTTCTGCTCTCTGAAAAGGCAATTGACATTTTTAAATTAAAGAACAGACAGCAGATAGTCATGGTGACTGGCAAATATTTTGTTTGTATCTAGAAAAGATAGATTGACCACTACAGGAATATTTGTGAATATCACATTAGAAATGGCTAAGAACAGTTGACTCAAAGTATTTGCTGGGAATATGAAGATCTACAGAGCTTTTGAGCAATTGATCATCCCTCCTTCCAAGTCATGGTGTGCATTTCTCCTTACCAAGGGATGTACTTGGTGTAGCACAAAGTGTTATGGTAGTTTTTTTTTCAAAGGAAAGGGAAGCTCTCATGTCTACTGAACACATACAGTAGTTTTGCAGATCATGTTAATGATAGTTTGGGATATAAATTGCTTTCTGCGGGGGTGAGGAAGCCATGCACAAAACAGGCTGCACAAAAATGAATTTGTCTAGGCATATTATGGGACTTTTTATTGGATGGCTGAAAAAAGGAGTAAAAATTTGTCACCTTCTGAACCACTAGGCTACATAGCTAGTCTGATTAAGTATGACAAATTCCAGTTAATAAAATTACAGTAATATTAAACAATGCTGCTCCACATGTAATATATTATTGACACTTTCACCAATATTGTTTGCAGCAGAGTAATATATTAAGAGAAAACATGTCTAGATCATGCAGATTGCTACTGTCTGAAAAATGCAAAGCTTCAATATTACAGGCTGACCACAGCACAGAAAAGAAACTTGTTTGATCTCCGATAACCATCCCACCAAGTTGGATTTTATGCCAATATTTCTGCAAGTCCATGTCATAGCTGTATTTCATTGCCCTCATGACAACCCCATTTCTTCCCTTCCTTTGCCGGTGCAAGTGAGAAAAGCAGGATGCAAATCTTCTGATAATTGCTATGAAGTTCTTGGGATTTCCAGAGAGCAAATGTCAGAGGACATCATTGCCTCTAAACGTGGCAGGCACCAAAAACACATAACAGGCTAAAATGAGTCCCGTAAAGAATATAAATTATGTTTGTATATGTTTGGTAAAGCAGGAAGTTACAAAATAATCATACTCAGCAAAACAGTTTCTGGCAATCAGAATTAGAGAGTGAGATTTGTCTTACTGTAAAAGGAAGGAGGAAGTACGGGGGTGGGGGAGTAATGATTGTATTTATTTTGGAAACAGAAGAGAAATGAGAAGATAAATCTTTTGAAATCTTGAGTCTGTGTGATAGAAAATGAACTTATCCACACCTACACCTACACAGATAGAAAACGCTTCTCTTCTGGAAAATTCCTTCCAAACCAATGACTAGATTTAATTAGAAAAGGAAGGAAAAATTGGAGAAATTCACACTCTGAATAAAGCACTACCTAGATATTATTTGTAACATATTTCCACTGAGCTAGAGAGACACTGTATAATAAGCTGTTCTGCTGAGGTACAGAGTTTACACCATCATCAGATCCTGAAAAGCCAAATAAAAAATGCAGTTTCCATTTTAATTCCTATGCTAGGTGCAGAGTATCATGAGATTGTTCTCCAGACAAAAGAATATTTAGCATTAGAGTCTTTTAAAAGGAAAACAATCTGAATGTAGCCAGATGGCTAGCAGATAAAGCAATGTTAGTAAAGCCAAAGATGCATATTTTGAAATAGATCAGCTAATGAACAAATCTTCCCTGATTTAAGCCGGCAAGAACCTACATTCAACAGATCTCTGTTTTCCTTCTGATGCCAGTGAGTTCATCATACCTGGACAGCTTTTGGAAAATAATATGTGTTGTTGTTCTGATATAGATTGAGACTAAATGCAGGGGTATCGATTGAATCATCCTGGTTTTACAGTAGTGTAACTGTGAGCAGATTCTAGCTTTCTGTTTCTATATATTTTAATATTCTATGAATATGATGGATAAGACAGTCTGCTATGCTTCAGCTGCTGTACAATTTTTTTCATTAGAGTCTCAGTGACCTCCTCTTAAAATTAGTCCAATGATTGATTTGTATTCCACAGAGTGCTCATTACAGATACCATTAGTGCACAAAATCCCAAGAACATAAAAAATACCCTAAAAAATGGCAATTTCAAGCTTTCGTTAGAAAGTCTTTTTCACAGGTTGAAATCAGTCAAGGAGTAAGTAATTAAGACAATTTACTATAGTGTGACTGTATGTATTTCACCATATATTCCCACAAGAAATGCCATGGGAGACATCTGCGTTAGAATTTTCTTATGAAACTTTCTTTTGGTTTTGTACTGCTTTGGAGATGGGATTGCAGAGAACATGGTACTTGACTCTCCCGTCAGAGCATCCCACAAGAGCTTTACACTGCCAGTCCATTTGCATTTGAGTTGATGCCTTCTCAGTATTGGAGTATCACCAGTATCACTTATAGCTGGTAATGCTGCTTAACAGAAGCCAAAGAAAGTCACTTCAGCCCAGAGCTGTGTTAATTGCCCTTGGAGACAGTTACAGGAGGCTTGCTTTAGTACTGGTTTTATTTTGTTCACCGTTACCTGCCCTCACAGTTCACAGATGTCTGGACTCCTGCAGAGTGCTCTATACAGATATTGCATTCTCTTTCTGGGCAGATACAGAGGATTAGATAAGGCCACAGTTTCATTTCCTTATAGTGACCAGAAAACAGAGAAGAAACCTAGGGAATATACTAAATGTTGTATTAACCACTGTTGTAGGCTGTAAAGACTACAGACGTTTCAGAGCTATGTTGATTAGTAATTAGCACAAAGCAGATGGGAAATCATGCTGTCTCCCCAGGATATTAATGCAAACTGGTTACAGTATTTATATGTTGTTGAGACTACCCTGCTAAAATGTGTTTTAAATAAATAGAAGAACTGGAATTATCTTGACATTTCAGTTAAAAATAGGTAAGACCAAATATTGAATTGGAAATTAGCTTCAAGTTTATGCTGAAAAGAGATCAGGAGTTCTCTATACTCACAAATTATCATTCGTGGGTTTAAATCCTGTTTAATTTTTAAAATGTGTTTTTAAATGCATCTGCTTTAAATCTAGCTTTATTTGCCACTTCTTAAGAGGACTGAATCTTTTGTTCCTCACTAGAGATCTTGAATGAGATTAATGAAAGATTCATTCTCAACTTGATTGGTACTCTGCTACCATATATATCACAGCAGGTTGTGTACTTTTCTTATTCAAAAGATTGGATGTTCAGAGAATTGCAATCACTTCTAAAGGCTAAGGAATTTGGGCTACTTTGGAAAGCTGTTTTGAGATAACTCTGCAAAGACAGACAAAGAACTCCCTTCTTTTTGTACCCATAGGGTTTCTCTCTAATATATCAATCCCAAATATAGGTTTGACAGTAATGAGCATGGAGAAATATGCTCTTTGTTTAGGTGGGCCCAGACACTTCGAAGTTGACTGGTTGATTAATGCATTTGCCTTTTCTTGGAAAATAATCAGCAAAGATGCTCTTGTGTGGGCATAACTTAAATGTGTACTTCTGACACTGACTCTGACATCCATGACTGTCAAAACCATGATAATTGCCCAAGTATATGAGAGATTGAAAGAGGGAATGAAATAATAAATTATTTTTTAAAAACTTTGGAATATAAGGCTTTCTGAAATCTCATCCTCACCTGGAAAAAAAAACAAAACAGTGAGTAAACAGGAGGGCTGTGTTGGATAAAAACTTTGCTGTTTTGATATAAGCAATTTTTTGCATAATGAGTTATGGTTTAGAGACTATGAATCCTTACTACATACATGCAAATGTCTTCTAGCACTTCAAAAGAAATATAAATCTCCTCTGATACAGGAATCGAAAAAAGGCTATAAAGTAATTTATTCTAATAGCCAGTAAACTTCCTAACTGAATCATCTGCATTCTCGGATCAGAATAAACTAGAGCATCATTTCAAGAAGTGCATATTATTGTACACAATTATTTCTGTTTAATAGATTATATCAAAGAGAATGATCAGAGTGATCCTGAACCCTCAGGGGACACCACCAGATACTATCAATCTATTAAGAAACACTTTGAGGATAAAAAAAGTGGATCATCATCTTTCATGTCCTCCATTGAAGATGAGCAAAAGCCCCTGTTCTCTGGGATAGCCGATTACCCATCTGTAACAGACAAAACCACAGAGGTGGACTTTGAAGAAATGGTTCACATCACAGAAGATATTCTTATTGATAAAAGAAGCAATTCCTGCAAAGGTAATCTAGTTGATGCTATTTTGTAGTTTGAGAATACATCTTTTTTTCAGTCTAATTATTATAAATGATTTTCTGAATGGTTCTATTGATTCTTTACATAATATTTACTTTTGTGTTTCCTGAAAGGTTAACAAGAAAAAACTTTTAGATAAAAAATTATTATTTCTCAAGGGGATTAATGTAGTTTAATACACTGTGCTTAATACACAACCTCCAAAAGGCTATTCCAGGCTTTGTTAATAAACCATCTTGTGATGGAACTGCCTTAGGGAAGTAATTTAAACAAACTCTTTAAAGTTTTAAGTGGTACTGGACTTCATTGAGTGCTCATGGATGAAAACTGCACCCAAAGCAGTAATGAATTCTTCAAAGGGTGTTTGATATATCAGGGTTGGGTGCCCGTGAAAAATCCTAGATAATGAGAGCTAGATAAAAAAAAAAAAAATCAGGTGACTAGTTTCATTTTTTGTATTGAAAAGACATAACTTAAATTACGCAAAAAAGAAATTATAATAGCTTGAAAGAATGCTATCCATTTTGCTGCACATGTTGGTTAAAAGGAGTGCTATTACAACACACAGACCAAATCCTAACTTCCATAAATAAACACAAGAACAAAGATTTGGCCTTTTGTATATGATAAATGATCAAAAACTGTTAAGCCATCTCAGTTACTTTTACATAGAGTTAAATAACATAATTAAAATTACATCTAATATAGTAAAGTATTCATTTTCTCAGTGATGTGAAAGGAAATTAATGGAAAACCCTGGATTAATATACAATTCAAATATTGCTGAAAGTTCATTTGTAATTGTTTCAGTCTGAAGGGGAGAATTACATATTTACGGTTTAATGCTGTTTTCCCCAGCAGTTTGTTTCCATTGCAGCAATTTAACTGTTTAACCATCATCCAAGAAACTTTAGGCTTTTGTGCTATAATTTTAAATGAACTTATTGATTAATCAGGCCAAACAATATATTTTTCACATTTCAAAGATATGAATATGTGAAGTCTGGTCTCCTCAGGTTAGGGCTGTATAAATCTGCACCACATAAACTTGTTGCATACATACTATAATTTGAAAGCTTACCTTTCCCCTACCAATAGCCAGAAATGTGTCCTTGCAGCTATAGCAACATTTTCCAAGGCAACCTATTGCAGATTTTATTTGAGCTAAATTTAGCATGTCTAAAGGTTACATATTTTGATTAAGACCACATTCTTTTTTTCCACTTTGTAATCTAGCACTTCTGGTATTGTGTGTGAAAGCTCATTACCTTTCTTGCAACTTTCATAAAAACTTCAAGGTCAATAAAATAAGATCAGCTTTGATTGATATGTGTTTTTTAAACTAAATTCTTACTCCTGATATTAATTAGAGATTGAATATGACTTACCATAAAAGTAGTTATAATGAAATCTTGAAATAAACTCTGCTTGCATGTATGTATGTTTATAATCCACATATATTATGGTACCTTATAAATCTTGCATACAAATGCACTTGTATAAAGCTACTGCAATTCATTACCACTGTGACTGATACATATTTCTTTGTCTTTAGTTTTGTTTTAAGCTTTAGTCATTACTGTTGATGAATGGAAAGATTACAAATAATGTATTGGATAATGTGGGCAGAAACTGCAGAAACTTCTTTCTCATAAACCTAAAATGCAACTGTTAACATTGAAACGTGGCTCTTCTGAGAAGACCTGATAATTTTTCTGTAGCTGGTAACCTATATATTGTGGAAAAATGATATTTTCTGTTTTCAGTGGGTCATTATTTGGGCCATAAGATTGATTCTCGAATTGTTCAAGTGAACCAAGTTATACATTTATTAATTTAGTTCTCAGTCCAGGATTTTTCAAGCCCTGGAAGACTATAATTAGTTATAAAATTGCAACTGCTGTTGGGCTTTTCTGGGCATACTCGTGTATGTGGAAGTACCTGAAAAGATGCTTAGAACAGTACAATACTGTATCTTAAAGTGTATGAACTTCTTTTATAATTTGAGTGTCAATTAATTTGCTTTGTCACAAATTAAATGTTTCTTGTAATATTATACAGATCCATATTCTGGGACCAAAAAAAAAAAAAAAAAAGCTGTGATTTCCCTGGTATAATCCATGGCATTGAAAAATATGTGATTTTAATGAATGATTCATTGTGCAAAATAACAAACAACTTGGTTCTTACAGGACATTAAAAAGCCGTGCAATGTATGGCCTACATTTTTAGTTTCTACTCCTGAAGTTCACTGCTTGAGACTAAATTCACAGGATTTACAACATCCATTGCACCCACACCCATATCTTAAAATTTTACCCCTAAATTTGTCATAGTCTGCTCCCTTCACTTTGCTGAGAGCTTTCCAGATTCCTTGGACACTGCAAATTTTGCCATGTGTGACTGCTAAAACCAAATTACATGCTTCTCTGAGACTGCTTTCCTCCTTCCTTCTGTTGGCTTGAGTGGCTGAGAAGCTGAACAGGTTTCTGTGTAGCCAAGATGAAATCTCTTTCCCCTTCCTCCTGCTCAGTTCATAAAATCAGTTATGGGTCATGTCACATGAAATTCAAACACTCTCTACAGCTCCAGGAAACCTTTTACCACCTGCTAATCGAAGATCAGATAATGCAGTAAGCACCTTTCTCAGACAAAAGTCTCCTCCTTCACTTGGAGTCACGTAGTGAGAGCTCCCCTTCCTGGCCAAATCTGCTTGAAATACTAAATCTAAGAAGGATTTTTTTTTCTTTGCTTAGAACAACACTGCTCAAAGATGTGTTTGAAAAGGACTAGCTAACAGCATTTGGACAAACCTCTCACATGTCACCCACACTGTGTTTTCTTCTCTTTTCTTTGAAACATGGCTGTGGCTGCTATGGTTGCTTAGAAAAAATTTCACAAGTGTGACATTAATGTAACCTATGCTGAGTTATCAGCATGCAGTGCCAAGAGAAGTGTTAGGTGAAGCTCTGAGCAAACCATTCAGGGACTACTGGGGGATGTGGAATTCAAATCCAACTGCACATACAATAGAGGCTGACACCTCATAAGCAGTCAAGGATTTTGTCCAGCTGTATGTTGAAGCAGCAGCCTGAGCACAGTAAGAACTTTTAATACATTCTGTAACTTCATGTAGTTAAATAATTACAAATACAACCCTAACGGGAATTGCACTGAGCAGGTTTTAAAGTTGTAGCAGCCTTTTTTATCACAGCAGAAGAGAATCTGAGTGGTACTGAGCAATTTTTGACTGTCTGCGTGACAACAGATTCACTCAAAGTAACAAAGGATTGAGGTGGAGGGAGGGTAGATGTAGAAAAAGCACTGTTCCATCTAAATATGTCACCTTAGTCTCTGCAAAGCTCACAGCAAGATCTTAATTCTGTATCAGATCAGGGTATGTGCAACTAATATATCCCATTATATATGATTTGTAGCCTTTCACCAGCTTGGTGAACAGGAGAAACAGCCTAGAGCCAGGAATATAAACTAATTCATAAATGCACAGAGGTGTAAATTAAGCAATTTGAAAGAGGAAGGAGAGATAGCTCAAACTATAGATCCAAGTAAAAGAAAGGAGTTCCCCTGAGTTCTGTTTGGGTGGTAAGGTGCAGTGTTTGATCACACAGATCCAAGAATTGGGAGGGACAAGAGGGATGGAATTTGGGCACAGCAGGTACAGGGTAGGGCCTGGAGCAGTCACCATCGTTTTCTTTACAAAGGGGTGGAGATAAAAAAATAAATTACTGGTATAGAGTATTTTTCAATGCCTTACATATTGTGTATAAAGTATACAAGGATTAGAATCATAGAATCACAGAATGGTTAGGGATTGAAGGGTTGGAAAGATCACTGAGTTCCAGGGTAGAAGGGTAGATTTCCATTGAGAAGGGTAACTAAACTCAGCAAGCTAAATGAAACTCTGCAGTAAGAGCCTAATAACGCAGTTGGGCTTTTTTTAGCTTGAAATAGATTTATTTTCTGTGTCTTAATCCAAAATTTTATCGGTAGTCCAAAAAAAAAAAGAAAAAAATATTATTTACAATGAAGCTAAAAGCTACATCAATGAAAATCAATTTCCTTGCTGAAAATAATAACCAGTATCCCTTTGCAAACAGTATGAGCTGCATTAAATGGCCTCTGTCTCACAGAAAAACCTGTTACACTTCACCAATGTTGTAATACAAACAATGTTACAATAATTGGTAAGAAAGGCAGCTGGCTGGGATCTGGCAGCTTTCTCCAGAGGAGGCATTCCAATGCACTGGAATGCATGCCCAGTGCTGTAGATGCAATGCGGCAAGTCCTCCTTTCACACCAAAAAGCTAAACAGCAAATACATTTTATTAGCAGATTCAAGGACAAGAGAAAAGGTCTTAGCCAGGTCTCTGAAACACACAATCAAAGACATTCAACCACATCATTTAAAGCATTTAGGTTAGAACAAATATTTCTAATTTCAATGAATAACAAATTGCTAAAAAAAACACCTTGAGGATTGATTGGTCAAATAATAGAAAGAAAACTAAACAAATAGGAGCTATTCAGTGGCAGAACTCTGATGATGCTGAACAGAAAAAGCTGCTTGTTTATCCACAGCTTCAAAATGTTGTCATGGGTGTGACCACTTTTATCAGTAGTAAGGAGCAAAGAGACTTGTTCAGGCAGTGGGCCAGTGTACCAATCTGACTTTCAAGGTTTTGAGAAACATGAGTAAGTAGGATGCTTGAAGGCTGCCAACCCCTCTCTAACAGCATGTATATAAACCTATACTTTTATGTTTTGTTTTTCATCAGATATCACTGATAAAAGAAACTGGGAGCAGGAGAACATCCAGGAGTACCAGGACTCCCCAATTCAGTCAGCATTACCCCATGTCACATGGGGGATCTGTGAAACTGAAAGTGACTTTATATATGGGGAAGTGGAGAATCGATTAGATTTACTTCAAGAACAACTCAACAGGTAAAAGCAGAGATCTGAGCAGGAAAAGCATATATGTGAAAGAGTACATAATACAACTGATATTAATGATGCTACAGTAGGAATGAATTTGCTCAGGAAGTTTCCAAAAGCATTTAGATCTTCAGAAGCTCAAAAGTACAAAAATGTGCCTGATGAGAATATCAGTTTGTTGTTTATATGTATTTTGAGGAGCCTAAATATCACCTAAGTTCAGCCTTCCAGATTCTTGGAAAAAGCTATTCTGGGAATGCTGGATACAAAAATTTTAATTCATTGCCAGAATACTCATGGCACTTACCTCTAGGTACCCACATAAGCTACTCTGAATTGCCTTGCAGAAGAGCCTCTGTCCTCAATTGACTGTTTAGGAGACCAGCTTTTTAACCTGGAAGCTGTACTGAGGCACCTAAACTTGTTAAGGTTAAATCTCACCTCACTCAGAATGTTGTTCCTAAATATTTGCATGTCCACAAAATGGCAATTTTCAGTATCTTCAGTATCTGAAGTACTTCTTTCCTGAAGATGCAAAGTAAACCAGCTGCCTTCCTTTAACAAAAACATTGTAGACAAATTCCCTTTTTGATACATTAACTTATTTTGCAACTGTCTCTATAATAAGTAAAACAAGGGAGTACGCAAAGGCAAAATACTTATACCTGTTACAACAGAAAACAGATGCTTTCTTTGTCAGAAGCCATTATCACCTTTGCTTAATAAAATGTCTCTTCCTTCTCTCTTTTGCTCTCTGATATACTACTCTTTGCTGGCAGCTAAGCAGCATAGCTTATGGCATCTTAAAAATATGGTTACAGAATTTTGGGTCATTCTACATTGTAATTTACCGTGTAGTTTCACTTAATTTTAAACTGCCCTGTGCTCTGGTCTCTGGCTTTTTTATTATTTTCACTCTGCAATTCCATTACTTTCAATATATTTCCATGACAAATACTATGACACACACTCAGACCTAATTATAATTTAGTAGCTCTTCCTTGGCATTCTGTGCTGTACATTTTAGCAATCAGTTTAAAGCCAGGTTAACTGCATATTGCTTCCTTCGTCTACCACAAGGGAATCAAACCATAGTATTTTTCATTTATGAATACTATATAGTACATTAAAAAGAGATTTTTACATGTATGCCTAAATTGCTGTAATTTCTAATTGCAGTAAAGTCAAGTAATCTCAGTAACTGTAAATGTCACATAACTAAACAGCTGCATGTTCCTCATCAACAATGTGTCTTTTGGTTACATTTCTTTTTCTGCAATCTTAAGCTCTTGAATCTGAAGTTATATCTCAAATTTACCCATAGTTCTATCAAATTCTCATGCAAGTTCTGAGTATTGAGTGATATCATTGTTGCTGATATACTAAGATTTTAATTGTTATGGATTTTATTAAATCATTTTATTCTTTAGCTCTTTCATGTTTTTAAAGGTTTTCATGCTTTCGGGAGTTTGAGCCTTGGCGAGTCTTCTATGAATGTAGCAGACAATATTCTTTCCTGCTTATGTCAGATCTGACCTGCTGGTCTAAAAAGCAGGGTCACTTCTTCTTGACCTTTTCCATGACAAGTTAGAGGCTTGGCATAACACTCAAATTATTAAACGGATATAGAAGGCTGGAAAGCCACTGTAGAAGGAGTATGTCCCTAGAGTTATCTCTTTTTCTCCTCTTTAAGCAATTGGAATTTCACGGAGGCTGTGGGCCAAGCATCTAAGGTTTTCCTATTTGTTCATCCTTGGGTGGCATGACATGGACTTACTGTAAATTATGGGGAAAGGAAGGAGAAGTTAAATATGCAATGATGACTAATAAAGGCTAGCAGAGGTATTTTTTGATTTGAAGCACCAGGAAACTCCCACCAAGTACTAACAAAGTAAGAAGGGAGCAATTTTAGAGTTAATTCAAAGCCAAAGACAATCATTGATGCAAGTCCTCCAATGCTAAATCGCTAATATTCACTGAGATGTTAAGGCCAGGTTTAGCAGACAGAAACTCTCTGGATGGTGGCATGCTGTTCCTGCTGCTGCAGTATTTTCCCCTGTGGCATCAGCATCAAGCTTGTGTGAGACTAGCACATTTGAAAATAGCAAAGATCCCAAGGGAGCTGAGCAAGAAGACATGGAGGGCATGACTGACTGTAACCTCCAGGTTTGGGCCTTTCTTTATGAGAGCTGATGCCACAGACCAGCTTTTCCCAATAAAGGAAGAAATGGCATCCTCAATATCTTTTGGGCGTACCTTTCAAATTAATTTCACAGATGCTTTTGTAAATAAATGACATAGGCAATAGATAACTCCAACATGATAAAAAATAATATCAAACAGTGAAATACCTGGTGACAGCAAAAATCTGTCAGCAGTGGATCAATTCTGCTGCTGTAGAGAGCCCAAGCAGTAACATTCACAACATTAAAGGCTGCTGACAAGGATTTGTTTACTCTGTCAGAAGATGAGTTGCAATACAGAAGGCTGTATATCTGTATTACAGTCTGTCATAGCATGTTCTGCAGCATTCCAGCAGCTGGGGAGGCACAATAGGCATTACCTACTGCTGAGTTTGTCATGGATCTTGGCAAGACCATTTGAAAATCCTTTCAGTGCTATGGAACTGAAAATATGAACAATATAAGCAGCTCAAGTATTTCAGAAGTCATATATAAATTTATAAAAAGGGAGGAAAAGATTAAAAAGCTACCGAATTTGAACATCAGAAATGTTGACATTAATTCTGAGGCCTGAATAGGTCTGAATAAATTTTCACAGTAAGGAGATTTGAGCTGTTGGTTATTTCAATGATCTTGAAAGCATCTTTCATTTTCTAACTGTAGAAAAACACAATTGTTTGTATTAGCATTGGAAATGTCAGAATTAATTGTCAGATGCACCAGAAATAGTGTCCCATCCTCAGACAGTACAGATCAATTCAGTTGCAATGAAGAGAGTACATTTATTCCAGTTAATTCCAACCAAAGACCTGGTCCCCCGTGTTACTTTGTGTTGCAAGCATAAGGGACAGTAATGAACTTATTCTTAGCATAGCAAAAAGATTGGAGGCAAGCATGCAGATACGTTCTGCAAAGCAGAGAGCCAGCAAGCTTTGGAAGGGCTCAGTACTCCCTCTTCTGTTCTTTCCTGTTTAAGACATGGTCATGTCATAACAAGCGATAGCTTGCTTAATTTATAAGCTGCAGGTCCCTCTTGAATGCAGCTGTAATCAGTATGTTAAATATTCCTGGTTATGAGTAAACGGATTTTGTGTTACTTCTCTAGGCTTGAGTCCCAAATGACTGCTGATATCCAAACCATCCTGCAGCTTTTGCAAAAGCAGTCAACGCTCATTCCACCTGCCTATAGCATGGTGACTGCAGGTGCCGAGTATCAACAGCCAGCAACCCAGGTGATACAAAAGCTTCAGCCTGCAGCATCAATTAAAACAGACAGAAGTTTCAGTCCTTCATCTCAGGTATGTACATGTCCAATTGCAACGAGGAGGTTTGCTGATCTTTTTAGGTTATGGTGAAAGAAATGCATACCCATCTAGGTGCTTGTTCATTTATTTGAGGAATTAGAAATTAATATTTTGACCTAGCACCTCCACAGTGAATTTAAGATACCACGGTTTCAGAGGCCACATTTTCTGTGAGGGTTGTAGAGATCCATACAGTGATCTTCTAATCAGACTGATTTACTTAATTATCATGATCTTTACAAGAGTTAGCAGAAATGACAAATACTAGACATGGGTGTAAACCACAAACACTTTCCAAGCATCAGACCTGCCTGCATGGGTACATCTGCCACCGGTCCTATTCATTAAGTCCTGAGAAGCACCATGACTGTGTTTTCCTGAAGGTACAGGCCAGACAAATCCAGATGATGCAGCATAATGGTTACATACACATGGAAGAGGGAGGGGCTAAAACCATTCTTATGTCCAGTCCCTTGCTACTGCTATAAATGTGACTATACAGAGCTGTGACATACCTGCATGCATTTCCCAATACGTGTTTTCCACCCCAGTTCTGTTCAGGCAAAATTTAATTATTTTCCAAATTTGTTTGGGATTTCTGGAGTTTAACAGCTTGGGCAAAGATGAGGCATATTATTTCCAAACAGGCTGCTGCATGTCTAGAAATCCCAGATCAGGCATGTAGTATACAGTTAGCAAATCCAGCATGCTTGGCTGTGTCAGATTCCTCATGCGTATGCTGCAACACATATAGACACAGTAAGTCCAACACATCCAGAAGGCATGGGTTTACATGCATAAAGACTATCAGGGCAGTAAATGCACAGCAGTAGTTTTCAGAAATGTAAACTCACCATGCATATACCTGCACAAAATGTATACACATATCCCTGTCTGAACAGAAATACTGCCACCCTCTGCAAACATCAGCAGGTGCACTGCACACTTCACACAAATTCCAAGTTTAAAAGTGAAGGAGAACTGAGTGCTGAGACTGGAATCCAAATGGTTATAATGTTCAGAATTATGCAAGTCCAAAGTTATGTTCTGAAACAAAACTCAAATTCAAAAATGTTGAAATCCGTACTCTTCGATTTGGTCTCAAGAATATTCAGTCCTTGAGAAAGGGCTGATTCATACATGTATCTTGATGTCATATGAGCAAGTCTGAGGAGAGGACAATATATCCAGACTTCTACAATTAATCCACAGAATACATTCAATTACATTATATCAAATGCAGTAAAATATTTCAGTATACTGCTTAATTTTCAAACATGGTTTTCCAGCAACCATCTGAATGTGCTAACTTTGAGCAGAACAAGAGCCTGGAAGCAAACAATCTAATTATTACCATCTTGTTTCTCCTCCTCCCTTCCAGTGTCCTGAATTTCTAGACCCTGAAAAATCAAAACTTAAATCCAAAGAATCCCTCTCAAGTGGAGTGCATCTTAACACAGCCTCAGAAGACAACCTGGCTTCTTTTTTAGATCAAGAACGTGACCAGCCTGTAGAGTGTCCTCCACAGCATTGTAAAACTTATCTCCAGCCAATTAGGCACCCTTCCTTGCCAGAATCTTCACTAAGCACTGTAGGAATCTTGAGTCTTCATAGGCATGTTTCTGATCCTGGTCTTCCTGGGAAATAATACTTTTATACTATTACTTCACATAAAATTGTAAGTGCTTTTAATGGCTGGTTTTCCTTTTTTTTTTTTTTTTTTTTTTTTTTAATTTAAATCCTCTATACTTGACTCAGGGGCTACAAGGAATATACCATTATATGCAAAAGTACTGTATATTTTCCTAAATTGGAAGCTTGTAAGGTAAAGTTGAGCAGTTCTGATGTAAATATATATATACACACAGACTAACTGTATGTTCCAAATGTAAAACTGCCAGCATTCTCAAGGCACCTTATATTTTTATTTTTTTTAAATAACATGCATGTTCTGAAATTACAGTTTACGTTGCATGGAGATTACCATTTACTGCTGTCATGGAAATAGTATTTTATTGTGGATATGTCTTCAGAGCAAATAGGAGACCAATAACAATAATTCACATAGAAAAAACTCCTACCTGACCAAGCTAAAATTCAAGCAACATCTTCTTCCAGCTCACTTTTGAAAATTGATTTATCTTTCTTGTAGTGAGCTTTTCACAATAAATCACAGTGATTCTGAATCTAGAGAAAGAATGAGGTAACCAGGTCTTCTGGTTTGAAACCATTAGGACAGAGAAACCAGCCTCTTTCCAAACCAGTTGAAGTAGGGAAGTATTTTAAGAGACAGGAAAACTCTGCCACATGCTGGAAAGTATCACCATAAGTCACATCCACAAAGCTGCATTAGTAGAATAATTTGTTTCCAGTACTTTTTTTTTTTTTTTTTTTAAATTGCATCATAGAAGTTAACTGCCATGAGCAGGCAGGTACTCTTCATCTGTCACACAAACATAATCAAATGCAATAAATCTAATTTCTATATAATACAGAAGACTGTGTTCCTTTTGTTCAATACAAATCATTAACCATCTGTTAAATTAAAAAATACTTTACACATTTTTCTTTCGTAATTATTAGGGTGGTTGTTTGCAGTTATCTGTTTTTACTGACTGGCCCCTCTACAATGATCCTAGATAGGGTATGTATGTATGTGGACACACACTTACACCGCGCACACATTCCTGAATGTGTGCACGTGTGTATTTTATATATGTACATATATGTGTGTACATACGTGTGTATATATTTATATACACATATACTCACAAGTGTGTGTATATACCTACACTTACATGTAGGAGTATAGATATAGAGCTATATATATATGTATATATGTAAAATCACTTTCAGTGACAATTGTAAACTTTCTTATAACAAAATGAGTAACCTTAGCTTGTGTCCAAAGCTGACTATATTAGAATAAAATTATTTAAGGTCCATAGGCTTTAAATACAGTATGTACTGTATGTGCATAATGCTTTGTGAATACTTAGATTTAATTTTATTAAAATATTATTCTGCTTCAAGTGTTGTGTTTATTTTAGAATGAACTGGCCTTTTTATTACTGTTTTTAAATATTTTTAAATGTTCACATATTTTCTAATATTAAAGCTTTAATGTGAAATTCCTCTAAGAAGAGAACTGGTTTCAGAAAAGCATAGTGGAGGAGGAGTTAAATTTTAACTAAAACCAAACTGAACCCTCTGTTCTAAACCAGTGCTGCAGAGTAATGCAATAGTGGTCAACCCTCACATTAATAGATAGACACATTATATGTTGGGGTCAGAATGATACATAACATTTTTAGTCATATAGAGACAGTAGATAAACCCAAGGTGGCTGAATCTTCTTGCATTTAAAATTAGTGTGTGTGTTAAGCTACTGAGCAAGGTTCTGCTTTACCTTTGCACATAAAGATACAAAAATGAATTAACTGAGTATCTTTGTAAGTGGAAAGAGAAACCAGCCTTTCCCCTACAAGATCAAATTTTCTTCTGCCTCATACTAGTGTCGATTGTTGAAAGGTCCAAATCTACAACGTGCTGCCTGCTCTTACTCTAGCATGATGGAGGGAGGTCTGCACTGCTTAGGGCCTTGTAGGAACAGACCCTAGGTGATAGCATCATTGGGCCAGTCAGAATCTCTACTTGCATACACTCCATTGAAACTGGAGTGCTGAAGAACAAAGTGAAATAGCTTTTTTTTTTTTTTTTTGCAAGCATTAACAACTTCTGCTCTGTCTCAACCTAGTAACTAATATTAATGTCTGTTACAAAGAACAAGCTAGCACATTTTCTAAAAAAAAGTATTTGTGGTTATGCTACATTTAAAACAGGCTGGTATAAATTAAAAATAAAATTAATGAAAAAAGTATAATGCATGAGCATTGCTTTACAAAATGCCTTTTGTCCAATCTCATGACTTGGTATTTTACATTACTGCAAAGAGGATAAGCAAAACAGGTGGACTGGGGAAGGAGTGTTGGGGAAGAGGAAAAGCACAACTACTTCACTTAGTCCAAGAAAAGGAAAAGGTCCATCCCTTACTCCTTTTCTTGGCTCAAAGATGCTTTGTTCCTTTCTCTTTGTCTGCGTCTATCAAGAAAAATCTCAAATGGGGGCAACTAAGGAAGACTTTGCAAAGTTATGGACATTCTAAACTGGCATTCATCTGCCAGTGAATGAAGAAACAAAACAAGAAAGATGACAGCTTGGTTGGCAATACTCGAGCTGCCCCTTGTAAGAGATCTCAGCAAAGAACCATCACGAGTCCTTAGTGGACCGTGACACCCCTTCCCTGCCAAAGAAAGATCTGCCTTCTCAGATCCCATCTTTTCTTCTTGAGGTACAGTGAAGCACATGAAGACCCATGACCTTTTTCTTCTCGAGACAGGTACAAACCATTGGTTTTGGAAATGCGTTAATTTTCTAAACAGTAAAAATTGTTTCTCTTTTTCTGTTTTGTTGTTGTTGTTTTTTGGGGTTTTTTTTGTTTTTCTGGGCAAGGTTCCCTTTAAGCCCAGTCTGTTTCTGACATGGTAGAACTGGGTCTGCGTTATCCAACACACAGTGGTAACATATCCATAGAGGCTTTCAGGACTTCAGGAGATAAGTTTTGGTCTTGCTTGAGCTTAGGAACACTTATCTTGGTTATTTACATTTAAAACCTGCTGCTAAAAATATGAATAAATTATAACTTGGAGATACAGAGAAGTATCCTGGAAATTCAAGAACAGCTAATGTGGCTGAAATATCAAAGCAATTGGGACAATCACTCCAAATGTGAAACATACACATCAGGAGAGCTCTTCATTAAGTTCATTAGCTTCCACCAGCTGTAGGTCTAGTTCCATTTTTAAAGCAAACCATAGCTTTTGATGGTTTTCAATATTTCAGCTGTGCAGCAATGAGCACCATTTGCATGTACACGTCCATCTACATGCACAGATTTACAGTCAGACACAAGTCATGTCTCTTGACCTACCTAACTCTGCTGTTTCCAGGAAGCACGTGACCAACTGAATGCCCTTCTCTCCAGAGTGGGAGCCTTTTTTTTTTTCCCCTCCTCTTTCGCACACAAACAAAATGCAACCTATTACTAAGCTTAGCCTTACCTTGTTATTACTAATGCAAACCCCACTAAAATACAGAGGGATACACTAGTTTCATCTGTAGTATCTAGCAGCCATGCACACATAGCAAGTAACCTAGTCTCACTTTCAAATTTAACGTCAAATTTTTAATAAAAATACTGGTAAATTGTGAAATTGATTCAGATTGGAGACAGACTTGATATGCAACCATTGGCACATTTCCAACAGCTGTCCAGGCACAGAATTAATTTTTAAGTAGCTTCTTTCTTACTTGGAATAGAAAGATCATGCAGAACGTCCTTTAACATCATTACTCTGAACCTAAAATTTCCTTCAGTTTTATTAGGAATTACATATACCTATATCATATAGCAGTCCCGGTGTCACTTGTATACTACATCTACCCTATACATCACTTTTTTTTTCAGGACTTGAAAGAGTATATTAGAAGTTAAACAGCAGATAGCTTAATGGGAGAGAAATATACAAGATCCGCACAATAGATTGCATATGAAAATCAAGACAACACTGAGTTTTATCAGTGAAGCTAAACGAGCATGTCCCAGAGCTTATAACTACACAAAGGCAGCACTACAGCAAGCTTAGTTTTTCTCACTGTACCTCTGAGTAGTAGATAGAACTGCATTACTAATGAAGAAACATTTTTATTCCTTTAGCTACTTGGGGGGTTTTTAATGCCCACTTGGGAAGTTCTTTGATTATTAATTAATAAAGAATATGGCTATTCTCTTTGGAATGGAAATTTGATGGACCAAAGTGAAGCCTCCCACAGGAGGCATTTGCCCCTTTTGTGCATTATTTACATTTTCTATACTGAAACTTCACATTATGAAGTTGGAAATACAAATAAAGTTTTGAAAACTTAGTCTAGATAAATACTCACTACTATGCTGTAGCAAATCCTGTTTGTACAACAGGTTTTTGTACAATGCAGTTAATGTAAGTTATTATTTTGCTTTCAGAAAAAATCTCCCGGAAAATTGTTTACTGTACAAATAAGAGCACTTGTACACTACACATATATTCAGTATTTTATATCACCATGAAGACTTACTTGCAAGAACTCTAAATATGCACAAATAAATGTAATGCACTTCAGTAATTTAGTTACTACAATGCAAATACCATTAACAGGGATCCAAAAAGGCTGTATATATATAGATCTGTATCAAAAACATTGATCAAAAAAGATTTTTATATTATATTTAGTATATTCATAACACCATGGGAATAAACGTAAAAGCACAGGATTACACAGGACCCCACTCACTGGCTTCAAGCACACAGAATAGAGACACAAAATTAGACCTTTTCAGAAAATCCTGTGCATGCAGCAATCTCCATGTATCATATTAGCCTCCAGTCCTCAAGTAGAACTGGAATTTATATCCATGTCTACTCCAACTTCACCGACTGAGGAATTAAAAAATGTAAGATAACTTCTAGTTACGAAATCTAGGTAACGAAGCTGACAATTGCTATTCATTGAGGCCCAAATTTTCACAAAATATTTTGATCAAAAGTACTGTCTAAATATCTGTCTTCAAGCCAGACACTTCCGTTGCTTGAATCATTTTCATTTAGAGTGAATCATGGAATGTGTTTCCCATGCAAGACCTATTCAGAAAATGAGTTTACTGATCCAGATGAATAGCCTTTGAACACTTTTGAGGCAAGCTGAGTTCCTAAAAAGAAAAAAAAACAAAACACATCAAAAAGCCCACAAACCAAGCAAATAAAAAAACCCAAACCAAACCAAACACAAACAAACACACACAAAAAAGCAGAACACCACCACACCCACAGATCTCCTTGGGGAAAAGCCTTAGGTTGGACTAAAAAAAAATGCACTCAGTTGAAATCCATTCCAGCTGTATTCAAGTTGTACTATCTAAGCAACATTGTATTGCAACAAGCTGGAGCAGTAAGCAAGTTTTACCTTGAACATTTGGGTTTTTAATGGAATCCACTCATCTAGTTTCTCCAAACCAACAGAATTTTTCAGAGTATGCCATCTGAGACAGTATGCCACTACTAATGAAAGACAGCCATTTAGCATGTAGGGTATCTTCTGTTTTATTTGTGCGAGCAAGCTACCCATTTCTAAGACACGGCCTATTATATATGACCATAAGCTTTTCATTTTCATTAAGCTCTTGAACTTAACATAGAAATTTACCTGTCTGGAATTGTACAGATTAAAAAAAGCCATGCTTCTAAATATAGTAAAATGCAAAAAAATGTTTATTGCTGCAAATAGTGCACTTAAAAATCAAATTATGCATTCCAAGCGCACTGTCTTATCAAGCGGGAAGGTTAAAAACTCTACAATAGCTTCCATCCACAGCAGTTCTTCCAAACAGGA